TATTACCTTAGGTTTTGCGTCTCGATCCGGAAAAGTAAAGAATAACGAGTTACAACAATATGGTGTTCCGAACTCACAGGGGGCGCCCCCAAAGAAGAGCCGGTTACAGGAGTCTTGGTGTTGAGGATGAACTGACAACCTTTTCCACAATGGCACCTGAATAACAGACGCGATTTTCTAAAACGAGAAAATGAACAAAATTTACTAATCTGCTTTGTTAATCACTCACCAATGACGCAAGCTCATCTGCGATAATTAAAAACCCTCAAAACAAAACCAGGCTACTATAAGGCATAACGTATAAACATTCGTACGTATATATTATCTGTTTGTAAATTTTTTGCAAACGCAAAAAACAGGAGGAGTAGCTTGATCGAAGAAAAGGCAAATAGCACGATGGATGGGCGGTAGCCACTCACAAGCACAGGCGTTGCATGCATAAGAGGAACAGTGCGCACCGCCCGTTGATCAATAGTTACTCGCCGTTGTGAAAATGTTCTGTATTTTACCCCGCCATGTCAAATAGTGTAAATTATGCTGCGGAGACCCCCCCCCCCAGCGAGAAAAGAGGGGAGTTCCCCCTCTCCCTCTCTCCCCTGCGTCCGCCTGCAGCATCCGCATGCATACCTACGGCACGCCGTTGAATCCATCATGCGCGTTTTTTCCCCCAAACTGGCCATTACCTCCTTTGTCTAATTTTTCCCCCTCAGAACAAACCCTGAAGCAGCAGCTAGAGCGTAGAGGAGGGGCTGCAGTTGCCCCCTCCCATCAATGTAGATACAATAACATGGTCAGTGGGGAATGACGTGATATTGTTTGCATGTAGATGCAAGGGGTAAGATGGATCGACAAGGATTGACAAGATTTTATTAGGCGCAACAGTTTGATACTGCTGAGCTCACATAGCCATCTTGGGAAAGAGAGAGTAGACCGGATCTCTTAAATCAGTTTAACTTTAGTATGCTTATTCGGCACTAGGTGGCGTTAGCTCGTAATAGTATGTTCTTATAAATACGTTCGCCGGAACCAAAGCGACGTGCTTAGAAGGCGGGAAGACTTGATCCCATTTCGCACCTGCGTCGGATTCGTCCGGCGTCTCGCGATGTTCTCGGCCTGACGTCCCCGGCACCTCGGCCGCATCGCTGCCAACGTTGGTGCTGCCGTTGTAATGCTCGTCAACTTTTCTGCGAGTGAGAAAAGTCGTTACGGCGACCTTTAAGGCGCTTAAATAACTAAGCATAATTATAATCTCTACTGCTCGGTGTATTGTCTTTACTCACATACATCATAAGAGCATTCCTATGCAGACACGGAGCTATAAATCTACATCTAACATTTACTAATTACTAATTACATTACTAATTACACTTTGGTAGTCAGAAGATAAATCACCTTCAAGACAAATTAACATTTTGACAATTGTACCGAACAAATGCACATGAGTTAAATGTGGATAAACAGCAATAGACGTTGATAGAATCTCCTTCTACTATTGGTCACATAACTACAAAATGGGAGGAAAAAATGTGCACAGCCACCAGAATAGTACCAAGTTCAACACATGCTGGAATCGATGACATTCCAGATTTAAATCATTATTATACTAATTATGATTATTAGTATTACTTGTATTATTATTATCATCATCATCATCATCACCATCGCCATCACCATCGTCATGGCATCGTCATCATCATCATCGTCAACACCAATCGTCATCATAATCATCATCATCATCATCATCATCATCATCACCATCGTCATCATCATCATCATCATCATCATCACCATCATCATCATCGTCATCATCATCACCATCAGCGTCACCATCATCATGATTATTATTAATGATATTAGTATAACCTGTAGGTGCGTAGATCCAGCAGGTCATCACAGATGGACTCGAGCATCGCGTTGCCTGCCCCCTGGAGGTGACGGTGGGTGACGACGGTCATCAGGATAATGTCCTCTGACGTGTTCGGAAAGATGACCTTCAGCTGACCAACCAAGTCCGCGTGTTCGTACCTGCCGAACACGACCCGCAACATCCTTCCCTCGTCAAGACCCGAGTTCGCTTACACGGGCTCTCTCTCTCTCTTTAGTTCTACGATATGTATATACTATACTATATAGCAAGTATATATATATATACTAGCTGAAAACCCGTCCTTTGGCCGGGTAGCCCTTGCACCAAACACGTAATACTGTCCCCATTGCAATCTACACATTATTCTGAGCTCAAACATACCACATGCACTTCATTCCCATGACCGTGTTATTCGTGAAGCGGGATACGCCGGTTGCCGGGGAAATAAAGCACTCAGTTGGTGACCGCTTGGTTGAAAGGAAATAGGCCCTACCCCAAAAAATCTAACTATCTATCTATCCATGCATCCATCCATTGATAACGAGTTAGATGTTTGCAAAGTGGGCACTGCCAACCACTAAGAACTGATGCAGAATTACTAGTTATAGCGAGAATTAATAACGTTTGAGGGAATGACAACAATATGCGTGTTCTAACCTTTACCAGGGAGCGCCCAAGAGCAGCGGTGACAGGAGCTCTTGCGTGTGGAGGATGACTGACACCTTCTTCCACAATGGCACCTGAATACAGACGTATTTTTAAAACGAGAAAACGAACAAAATTCACTAATCTGTTTGTTAATCACTCAACAATGACGCAGCTCATCTGCGATAATAAAACCTCAAACAAAAACAAGGTATATAAGCATAACGATAAGATATCGTACGTATATATTACTCTGTTGTAAATTTTTGCAAACGCAAACAGTAGCCGATCGAGAAAGGTTTAAGGACAAATACACGATGGATGGGCGTAGCACACTCACAAGCACAGTGTTTCCTATACATAAGAGGCACAGTGGCGCACCGCCGTTGTCAAATTTAACATCGCCGTTGTGAAAAAGGTTCCTGTACGTATTTACCTGCCATTGTCAAAATAGTGTAAATTTGCTGGGGGAGACCCCCCCCTAGCGTACCCTCCGCGACGTCTGGTCCCTCCGCGTCGTTCGCTACTGCCTCTGTGACTTGGTCTTCCACGACGACGGCACATTCTCCTCCTACGTCGCGTTCCTTCTCAGCTGAAGCTGCAATCTCATCGAACTGAAGTCAATCGATTTTGCGCCGTCAGGAAATACCGATCTAATGCTTATTTATTATCGCTTACACATTAACTAATGTTAATTACTGCTCAGTTAGGCTTACAAATGCGCAATCTGTGACCATTGCCTTTTGGCTGTAGACAGCTGGGTTAAGAGAGCTATGTGCAAGTCTTTACTTCGGGAAAATCCACAATCTCTTATCTAGATTAAGAAATACTGATCTATCGCTCTCACATTAACATGTTCAGTTGGGCTTACAAACTGGTAACCCGTGACCATTGCTTTTTTGGCTGGATACAGTTGGGTGTAAAGAGCTACGTGCAAATCCGTATCTTGAAAAAATCCACATTTGCTTATTTGGTAATTATTATTATTGTTATTATTATTATTATGTTAATTATAGACCTACATATTGGTGAAATACCGTAATTGCTAACAATACCGATTTATCTTTGCCAGCCGTTGGCGATGCGACGTTTGCAGTGACACTTACCATCTTATGTATGTAATCATGTAAGGAATCGACTGGTTCTGCTGGTGCTATCGGTTGTTCTGCAACGTCATTATCCTCTACAAGGTTCAACCTTTCCTGCGAGTCAGCGTCGTCAATGACAATGACGTTAGCAGCTGCCACTGCTGCGGCAACGACGTCATCGGGCGGTTCGTTATCCTAAATGCCATGGGATTACATATGGTGTCAGGGAATAGTTACAATTTCTATAACAGTACTACTAACTCGTTAACCTGCAATTACCATAACAGTACTACTAACTCGTTAGCCGTACTACCANGAGAGAGAGGGGGGGATAGAGAAAGGGATAGAGCGAGAGAGAGGGGGGGGAGATAGAGAAAGGGATAGAGAGGGTGGGAGGGAGGGAGAGAGAGAGAGAGAGAGAGAGAGAGAGAAAGAGAGAGGGAGAGAGAGAGAGAGAAAGATAGAGAGAGAGAGAGAGCGCGAAAGAGAGAGAGAGAGAGAGAGAGAGCGAGAGAGAGCGAGAAAGAGAAAGAGAGAGCGCGAAAGAGAGAGAGGGAGAGAGAAAGAAAAAGAGAGAGAGGCGAAACTTCCTCAATGGTGGAAATTTGAGAGGTTGGAATCTCACCTTATTGCCATCGATTGAGTTTAAATACAGTGTAGCCCTGTTATAATGCGATGGTTGGGGTCCATAAAATATCATCGCGAAAAAAGCGGGATCGCACTAAATCGGGGTTATACATACGTGGCGATATAAGAGCAAAATAAAGGGGGTCCAACGACTCATCGCGTTATATATCCGAATTCGGGTTAAATCGGGGTTCCACTGTATCACTCAAGTTCAATTTTACATTGCCCGATGACATCGTGTTTCGAGTTTGCTCAATTGACATTGTTAGCAGCCTTTTAATTATTTGTTATGCCTATATAAACCTATTTTATTTATCTATCTCTCTACAGACACAGTATGCCTTACACGCAAAACTTCGTAAACTCCCAAATACCTCAAGGAATTCGTTTTTTAGCAGATTCATCGCTTCGCTCATGTATGTTACCGAGATCGACTGCTTCAAAAAACTCTCGTCAAGGTAGTTTGAGAATTCCTGCAAACACAAGTACACAGTACAGCGTCGACACGCACGACAGACGACGCATCTCCGCGGCACGACGAGCGGGAGCGAGCAATCGCGCATTGTACTATGCTATTCTTCGTACTATGCAATTTTTAGTATGTCCCGAAGATCGATTATAATCGAAAGTCAATCGTTTGCAGCAACCGACTAAGCACTCAATTATGAAAATATATAATCAATTATCAACAACAAAATGTAGTTTTTAAATAATGCACTTTTTTTTAAATAAAATGTGCAAACATTGCTAACTCGTTAGCCGTACTACTAACTCGTTAACCTGGACTCACCTGGACAGTCTGTTGTGCATTGCCGTCCCGCTCCCTGTTCTTGTACTTCTTCACCTGAGGAACCTTCGGGTACTTTGTCTCGACCATGACGTTGCAGACCGTCGTGAGAATGTCTGGGTGGTTCACGTGCGCAAGGACGAGCGCCTCCACGTGCTCCCGCTGCGCGTCCGGAAACAACTGCATCTGCGGAAGCAGGAGAGAGAGAGATGCTACAGCAGCACTGACAGACCGACGCACGCGCCGGCGCAGTGCATCGATTCTCGCGCGCTTTTCGGGGGTTTTCGCGCCGATCCGCGTGCATGCGTCGTCGATTTCCCGCGGGGTTCGCGCGCATGCGGCAGATGATTTAACTGCTCACAAAATTACGATTTAATAATGAAATTGTCAAATTGCAGTGTCGTTTAAGTACTAAAAAAATTCCGTCACCTAGTCCTTTGGTGCAACTACTGTGCAACAACCTAGTTTTGTGGAGAAAAAAACTAAATTATTTCATTTTTACTTTATTAAAAATGTTTTTGTACGCCTCTTTTCTCATACCCATCATCTGTTTATGCCTTGCTTAGCACATACGATAAAGTTAAAGGGACTACGTCACGAATTTTCTATGGTAAAATTTGTTTAAAAAAAATTCCAATTTTTTTACATT